AATAAAGAAAAAGAGAGTCAACAGAGTGGATATATATTGGTTTTTATCGATGGAATCACCAAGAAAAATGTTTTGTTGGTATACCTGTTTGTAAGTCCACTGGTGACTGTGTCATGTCACTGGCCGTTAGTTTGGGAGGGAAGAGTTGGGATGGGAAAGAAAAAGAAGAAATAAAGAAAAAGAGAGTCAGCAGAGTGGGTATATATTGGTTTTTATCGATGGAATCACCAACGAAAATGTTTTGTTGGTATACCTGTCTATAAGTCCACTGGTGACTGTGTCATGTCACTGTATGGAAATCTTAGTTTAAATCCCTTGGTTATTCCATCAGTAAAATAGTCTAAAAAAATCAACGTCATCACACCATTGCAAATTTTTTAAAAACTATGTAATCAATCGGCAATACAGTTACAAAAGATAAAAACAATCAATCAAAAGATTAACGATCAGATTGAATATAATAAATAAATAAAATTAATTATTAAAAAATAAAATTAAAAAACCTCAATAATCTCTAAACAAATAAAAATAAAAAAATAAAAATCAAACTCAAACTCAAACTACAAACACTCTAAACAAATAAAAAAAAAATCAAACTCAAACTCAAACTACAAAATAAACACTACAACTAAATTTTTAAAAACCTGGAATGACTATCATGGCCCGCGAGAGAAAAAATAAGAGGAGAAAGAAAAAAAAATAAAAGTCACCAAACCACTGTGTTTCCTAACCAAATGCACCACCTCAAAATCTGCATTTGCACCTTACATGTCAGATAAGATGGCAATTGGCATTTTGTGGCCTACAGAATGGCACGAGGGATGATGACGCGTCGAAACGTGCATGTGACGTGTAAGTCTATTTTATCGATTTATTAACATTTTAATAATTTAAATTACTAAAATGACCCTAAGGGCACATCAATATTACAAAAAAACCATACAAAGACGAAAACGCACTGCCAAAGGCAGCCTTAGTTTTTTCAGAGTCAAAGCTTAAATGTGTAAATGAGCATTTGTGAACTTCCAAGGGTACCAATTTTTGTGAACTTCCAGCAAGATCAATTTTTGTGAACTTCCAAGGGTACCAATGTAATTTTATTATATAAATAAATTTTATGTAATTTTATTATATAATCCACATTAATTCTCCTCCACAAGTATGACTGTATGAGGCCTTTTAGGTTTGGTTTTTTTGTTAAAAAAATATACGGTCCCCACCTATTTTAAAATATACTGTGATATCCAAACTAGGTCCATCCTTGGGATTGTGATATCCAAACTAGGTCCATCCTTGGGAGCTGGCCGCTTCATTATTTTATTTCGATAATAACTTATTTGATAGCGGAGCACCTCTGACAGTGGTACGGCTTTAGGAAGAAGAACTCGGAGATTCATGGTTAAAGCTTTAGCACCAGCTTTAGATAGATCTTTGTTGAGCCGAAAGCCATTGTTTTCAAGGTCATCTTCTCATGTTGTTATATGCTTCATCATTAGAGCTGATATGTGTGCGTACAGAACAAGTCAATTCCATGAGGGCTTTATTCTTCCAATCTCTGTTATTTATTAAGAGAATGGAGCAGCCCCCAGTACGAAATAGAATGTTGGAGAGCATCATGGACTTGTCTTTTCCAGGGTGCCAATGTGAACTCATGGATTCTGTGCTCATAACGATTGCAAATGAATTCTTGCATGTCTTGAACAGTTGCTTGACTAAATCAATTGTTACTACTCTTGCACTACAACCCATTCCAGAGAGATTGAATGCCTTGATGTCCTCCCTCATCTTGTAACGGTTTATTACTCGCGCTGTTAGAGAGGGAGCTGGTGAGAACAAAGAGACTGATGAAGAGATAATAATGTTGATTTCTGATGGACAAACTCCTGTCATGGCAAAGAGCTTATTAACAGTATCGAAAAGGATACCATCCATCTCTGAAATTTCATCCATAAGAGTTGCATTCTTGTTTAGTGAAATAATTCCAGCACTTGATATAGGATCAAGTTTCTGGTTTTTTTGTCTGTTGTTTGAGAGTATGATTACGGTTAATTTTTAAAGTGTTTTTTATACTAAAATGCATTAAAATGTTTTTTTTAGTTTTTAAAAATTATTTTTGAAATCAATGCATCAAAACAATTTAAAACATATAAAAAATTAATTTTTAGCAAAATACAATTGAATTTTAGGGTAACGCGGTGCAACGTTCTCTTCAGCAGCTTGATGGCACTTATAGCTTAGCAAATTTTTTAAATTAATTTGGGTTTTAATTGGAAAAAATTAATATTTTTTAAGTTAATTTGGGTTTTAATTGGAAAAAATTAAAATTCTAGGATAAATTATAATTTTTTAGAGTTAATTTGGGAATAAATTAAAATTTTTTAGAGTTAATTTGGTCAAATCAAGGGCTTAATTGTATTAATATTAAAGTTTGATGGCTAATTAAGAATTTAATTAAAAAAATTCAAAAAAAGGTATGTAAATAGAGCGGCTATAATTAAAACCAAATCAGGGGCCAAATTAAAAAAATAAAATTTTATTAATCAATTAAGGGTTAAATTGCATAAATCAAAGACCAAGATCAATTTGGAAAAGATGACCAACTTTAGGTCTGAAGATTGAATTTGGTAGGGATGCAATTGATTAATTTTTAAAATTAAAATTGCAATTAAGGACTTGATTGAACAAATCACAAATTGAAGATTGATTTGGACTTTGACATGATTTTTCCATATTTTTCTTTTAAATGAAACAACACATTTTGTCCAAAACAATGTCATTTCATCTATTGTTCATTAACATAAAAAAAAAAGACTTAAAACGATGTCGTTTTGAACTACGCTGTGGGTCTTTTTCTTTCTTTAGATGAACAAAGGAAGGGAAGAAGAAGATTTTTCTTCCCCTGTTACTCACCACCTTCTCTTCCCCCGATGACCCAAAATGATGCCGACTAAAGACCCCTCCACCTTCACAAAAACCTTTCCTCGTGTTAGAGTTAGGGGGAGAGGTGTCCTTAAGGTGGTAGACGAACGGTTGAATAGTGGCCGCCCTGATCACCTTACCCCCACGCCATTGACTAAGCAGGGGTTTAGGTCTCCTTTTCTTCCTTATAAATACAAGGGAGAAGGAGACAGAGGGGGACGAAAAAAAAGACAAGAAGAAAATGAGAGAAAGAACATAAAAAAATAAGGAAGAAGAGAGAAAGAGAGGAAGAAAAACAAACCAGAAAAATGAAGAAAAAAACATAGAAAGGAAGAAAAAAAGAACAGGGGAGAAACAGAGGAGAGAAAAAGTAGTGTCATCGAGTCCAGCCACCATTTCCACCATTGACGACAATAGCCATGCCAGGTAATCTTTTATTCTTCTCTACTTCGTCTTCTATTTTTCTTTAATTTGCATGCAAAACGTAAGCAATTCACGTTCTGCAACAAATCAATAATTGGCTAGTTACTGCGCACAGCAGTGTAACCATCTAGTTATAATCTTTTAGGCCAGTGGTGACCCATTTTATTTTCTTTATGTTGGGTCATGCTGGCCCATTCCAATTAAATATACCATAATAGTACAAATATGGTATTAAAATCCTCGATTTTCATCAACTAAAAAAATAAAAAATAGAAAGGAAAAAAAAATTTGTGTGCATACGGTCAAGTGTCTCAAAGCTAAAAAAACATATTGTATTTTTTTTTATCATACACCAAAAAAATATATTTTAGCATGCATTATGGATTTAATAACCAGTTTATTAAAGTCAAGAGAACATTAACCAATATTTCAAAAAAATTAAAAAATATTTTTGTTTGGTTTTAATACCAAAGATTGCAAATTTATATGTAAAATGTATTTCTATTATTAAAAAAGTTTTTTTGTTAATTTAATTAGATTTTTTATTGGATCATAAAACAATGCAGCTTACCTTAGGTAGGACATATTTAGGGTACTAATACCTTCTTTTTATACAACAAGTCTCCGTACCTCATCTCTGAGATTAGTTAGGGTTCATAATGATCAAAATACTAAGTGACAACTACATTTTATATTTTATTGATAAAATATAAGAATTTATTGTCTCTTTATATTTTGCTGGATAGACTTACATTTATACTTTATAAAGGATGGATTATCGTTGTGGCGTTGCACATATATAACAATTATTATTATTATTATTATTATTATTATTATTATTATTATTATTACTAGAGGAACCAGACCCTAGAAACTTGGGTCTGGCTGGGGCACTATATCCAAGTTTATAATTATTATTATTATTTTATTATTATTACTATAAATAATATTTTTTAAAAATTATTACTATTAAATAAAAATTATAAATTCAATATTAAAAAATAAAAATTTATAAAAACCTAGATTAGACAAATTTAATATTATTATTTATATTATAAATATTATTTTTAAGTTAAATATAACAACAAGATGCAAGTTTCTTAAATTTATCTTTCGAGGTAAACTTAACGCTATTGCATATTAGCATTATTTTATATTATTTATGCCAAAAAAAAATTATCTGGCTGGCAGCTCACTAGTTAATGATGCTAAAATGACACAGAAAACCAAGGCCAAATTTTTTAACTCTTAATGGAAAAGGAGTATTTTAACTGTATTTTTACAGGTAAATAATAAAATTAGCCCTAATCAATTTACGAATGATATTTATATCCCTAGAAAAAACAACTTTACCTTTACTACCGACGCAAATATTGAGTGCAATAAAGGGAAAATAAACATTATAGTGTTTGAATCCACATTAATTCTCCTCCACATGTATGAGGTTTTTTAGGTTTTTTTTTTTAAAAAATATATATATACATTTTTTAGGTTTTTTTTTTTTAAATATATATATACAGCCCCCACCTATCTTGAAATTTCTGACAAGGACTTCCCCAGCCTTATACCGTGTAATCAATTTTTTTGAGGAACATTATCTAGTGCTTGCATGTGCACCTGCCGCCCATGTAACCCGTTCTCTAGTATAAGAGTAGGACCATAGTTGTTATGATCATAAACTCCCTCATAAAAGTCTCTGTGTCTCTTGAAACCCAATCTGTAGCCTATCTTTTCTTGTTATGGAGTTGTTCTTGGCAATGCTTCCACTATTGTTGTGCTATATTATCTTCAACCTTTTTAAGTTGGGATACCAAAAGAAAGACCAGTGTTGCTATATGCTAAGTTATGAGTGCCATAAAGCCACTGATGACCAAAAGCTCGATACTGGATCCTGTGCTAAAATTGTTACCCGAAACAAGAATCTGGGCATAGAAGAATACAGGTTTCTTTTAAGGACTATGGTTAGTTCTGGCATCGGTGAACAAACTTATTGCCCAAAAAACATCATGGAAGGAAGAGAGGAATCTGCAACTCATATGGATGCCGTTTCGGAGATGGATGGTATCCTTTTTCATACCCTTGATAAGCTCTTTGCTAAGACAGGAGTTTCTCCATCAGAAATCGACATTATTGTCTCTTCAGTCTCTTTGTTCTCGCCAGCTCCCTCACTAACAGCTCGAGTAATAAACCGTTACAAGATGAGGGAGGACATCAAAGCATTTAATCTCTCTGGAATGGGTTGCAGTGCAAGTGTAGTAGCCGTTGACTTGGTTAAGCAATTGTTCAAGACATACAAGAATTCACTTGCAATCGTCGTGAGCACAGAATCCATGGGTCCAAATTGGTATTGTGGCAAAGACAAGTCCATGATGCTGTCCAACATTCTTTTTCGCACCGGGGGCTGCTCCATGCTCTTAACAAATAATAGAGCTTTGAAGCATAAAGCCCTCTTGGAATTGACTTGTTCTGTACGCACACATATCGGCTCTAATGATGAAGCATACAGCAGCTGCATCCAAGTAGAAGATGAACTTGGCCACAAAGGCTTTCGGCTCACCAGAGATCTACCTAAAGCTGGTGCTAAAGCTTTAACCATGAATCTCCGAGTTCTTCTTCCTAAAGTTTTACCACTGTCAGAATTGCTCCGCTACAAAATAAGTTATTATCGAAACAAAATAATGAAGAGACCAACTTCTAAGGCTGCAGGACCAGGTTTGGATCTCAGGTCTGGAATCGACCACTTTTGTGTGCACCCTGGTGGGCGGGCAATTATTGATGAGGTTGGTAAGAGTTTAGCACTCAACGACTATGATCTCGAACCAGCTAGAATGGCACTTTATCGGTTTGGAAATACATCATCCGGCGGCCTGTGGTATGTTTTAGGTTACATGGAGGCTAAGAAAAGGCTCAAGAAGGGTGATAAAATACTAATGATCAGCCTTGGGGCAGGTTTTAAGTGCAACAATTGTGTCTGGAAAGTTATGAAGGACTTGGAGGACACAAATGTCTGGCAAGACTGCATAGATCAATACCCTCCAAAAGCCGTAGACAACCCCTTCTCTGAGAAGTTTGATTGGATCAATGATGAAAGCATGAATTTCGCCAGGATTGAAGATTTCCTACCACAACTCCAGTTGTTAGCATAATTATTATATGGTCTGTGAAGTTTGATTTGATCAGTGATGAAAGCATGAATTTCTCCTGGCGTTAAGATTACATGCCATAAGATGATAAATCCAGTTACTAGCATAATTATATATATGGTCTCATACTGCAGCTTTAAATTAATCAGTCTCAAGATCGACCTTCCTTTCGGCCTCTCCATACGCGTGAAGTATTGCGTGGAAGTAAATTAGGTATAATACTGATGTTGCCCATTTTTTTGCAAATAAAATATGGTCTTCTAATTTATGTTACAATAATCTGTGTGAAAGAATACTGATGTATTGAATCAGTTTTCGTGATCTCTATATAAAATCTAGTTATTCATAATTAATGTACCTTCATGCATCACATTTGGATTCTCGATTGAATTATTACGATAGAAAATTGAAGTCTTTCTCCCTTTTTGTTTCTTATGATCTTTCTTGATCGAGAGGGCTCAACCTCTGTACACGGTTTGTGGGATCTTTCTCCCTTTTTGTTTTTTTATGATCTTTCTTGATCGAGATGGGCTCAACCTCTGTTCATGGTTTTTGGGATCTTTCTCCCTTTCGAGATGTGATGAAGTTAATAGATGATTCTATATTCCGGTGCTGATATGATTTCGCACGCAGCTCATTGGCACGTGGTTATTCCTTTGTCGATGCTTTGATGTGCCGTGACTTGCTCATATGTATGCTATTTGGTTCTATATATGTTTATGCTAGGCCACTTCCAGATTGGTGTTTTACTACCTTTTTCATATTCCTTCGCTCTTCCAAGGTGCATGCTAGTGTAGTTTTTTTGCCGCATTCTCGTGTTCTGACAATTTGGGAAGTGCTTGTTTGTGGAACATGCTTCCTAGCTAGACATACAAATCTTGCTCTAGACCATCTTTTGCTCTAGATCATCTTGTCTTGATGCTGCCGCCAACTCTGAAAACTTGTACTTTCGTAGCTAGAATTTTTGTATGCTTCCATTTCATTATGTTTCTCTTTTTAGCTAGCTTTGATGGATATTGATCATGTGTTCATCTAGCTTTTGTTCTCTTGTCTTCATGTGTTGTGGCCGCCTTAAAAGGGAATGAGAAGGCTGATCACATGTGACTATTAAATTTAAGCCCATTCAGATTTTATTTTGAATTAATTAAAAAATCTACAAAAACTAATATCTTATAAGAGTTTTTTTACTTAATTTTATTTAAAATAATATGTTTTATTTGAAAAAATATAAAAATATTATTTTGAGGTTTAAATAATTCTGATTGAATTTTATAACTACATTGAATACCGTGCAAACACTCCTCATCTACAAATCATTGATTGTTTCTCCTCCCTTATTCACACTTTCTCTGCATTCCGAGGCAAGGGACAGTTTGTTCACAATATTCTCTCTTTTCACTTCAAACATCACCTCTCACAATTACAGGGACCTAGTCCTTGTGTACTAGACCGAAACATTGCATGGACAAGTTGCAGCAATTCTTTTTTTTTTATTAACATGATTATTTGAAATTAATTTATGAAACTTAAATTGATAATTTTTAAAAAATAAAATTAAACTTCACCTTATTTTCGTTTATATATATGAACAACGGGATTCTAATCAGTTTAGAGAATGCATGGTTTATATTTGATAATGTCACATATGTATGAACTGTTCATCCCCATGTTTTTCCGCAGTTACAAAATTGATTGGAAGGTCGTAGGTCAGCTTTTAATATGCTTTAATAGCAGGAAAAAATAGGTAAGCTTTCATGGCCACGGGTCCACGTCAATGGAAGGATCACTCGGGAGGGATTAGATGATGTTGCTATGTATGTAGAATAACTCGTGGTAATCAGAGAATGTAATTAAGGCTTTGAAATGAAAGAAAATCAATTTAGTTTAACCTTTGAACGGTAGTTCCTTAGTCTCCGATGCTTATACATGCATGTAAAGCATCAAAGAAAGTCTTTCCATGGTTGTGGTTTAAGCTGATTGCAGAAGGAAGAACAAGGATTAGCATAGATTATTTGTTGGTGTGTGTTAGAGAATAATATAAATTATATATTAAAATTTTATTTTATAATTTTTGAGTTATTGAGTTGAAATAATTCTGTAACATGTTATTAAATTTTTGATAATCGAGCGATTACGAGTTTAAATCTCACCATCTTTATTTATTTGATAAAAATTAAGTATAATGTAATGTGAACCTTATACATTTCAAACTCAAAGGGTTTTCTCTTAAGAGGATATGTTAGAGAATAATATTAATCATATCTTGAAATCTTATAATTAGTATTTAAAAGTGTATTTTTATCAAGATTTTATATCATCATATTGCACTTAAAGTATCATTAAATTCCCTAACTTAAGTATGATTTATAATAACAAATTTGATAATATAAAATATCATTAATTTACAGTAAATATTCATTTCAAATACAGACATGTTTCACAATTCAAAGAATTGATTAATTTGTTTAACTATTGAAAGTGAAAGGAAAAAAGAAAGGGATAAGTTTAAAAAAAAATGCTAATTTAATTCAAACTGAAATACCATTTAGTCATTGGATTATATCTGAAGCTATAGATCTTGGATTTTAGTTTGGTTTATATAGTTAGAAAACTAAGACATAGACCTAAAGCATTCATGAAGAATCAAAAACTTAATTTTCTACCGTTTATAAGTTCAAATCTTAGTATCAAAAGAGAAGTTTGAATCTTTCCTACAGCCCAAATATTATTCACTATTCAGCTCATATCTCGAGTTCTAGAAGTCTAAATGAGCTCATTTGTTTTTTGTTGGAAAGCTAAGATAAATACCCAAAACTTTCATAAGATGATCTATTCAAATTCTAATGTTAACAATGATATTTTGTTCATATAAAAAGATAAGGGTTATCACTAAGTTAAAAGGTGATCACCCAATCAATAATTAATCATTAAATCAATAATTCTAAATTTTAACATATAAAAGAAGGCATTTTTCATACATTAAGATATCATTATTTTTAGATCAAGATCATTTCCTTACTTGTTTTCTTTCTTTGTAGTTTTAATGTTCTAGTTTTATTTCATATTATAGTTTCATTAATATCTTGTATTTGCCTTTCATTTAATTTACTATACCTATATAATTATATTCTCATATTGTTTATTTATGTTTCTTTTCATAATGTTTAGCTTAGTTTAACATGTTAAGGTGAAAATGTCTCACTAATGGTGTTAGGATATGTATAATATAAACTCAATATGGACTTCAGTGCTCACATCCAAGAAAATTTGCTATTAACATGTCTTATCATTTTTATCTTATTAATTCTTAATACTTTGTTTGTTAAATAGTTAATCTAGATTTGTGTTGCATAACACTTGGTACAACAAATGCTTGACACTTTTATAGTCAACCATACGGTATAACTTACACTTGTGCTATGAAAGGAACTTGATTTGTTGTTAATATAAGTTAACATCATGAATTCCTAATAATATTTAAAAGTTTGGTGTTACTTAAATAAGATAATTAATATAGTCATGTTAACAATTTTGTAATGAGCTATTAATGACAAATCATCTGTTTGGAACCTCTTTTGTGTGTGGTTTCCAGTTAAGTAATAAAAAGAGTTTATATTATATTTATTTTTAATACTATTAGTAGATCCTCTAACCTTGAGATTTTTTTTTATCATTGTTTAATCCTCACATTAATCTTACATTTCAAAGTCCTCTTTAACTTATTTTTATTATTATTGTTATTGTTGTTGTTGTTGTTATTTGTAATTTATATAGTTAATCTCCCTATGGTTCGACCTCGGTCTTGTTGGGTTATTTATTACTTTGACACTTCTGCACTTGAGATAAGACATCAATCTTTTCATCGTGTCACCTTTCCTTATAGCTTAAGTTATGTATTGAGTTGAGATAGTTCTTTAACAATGTATAAGAATACAATAATGAATATTTCAATGAATGATATTAAAAACATTATTCAAAATTAATTTACTTCTTTAAAAGATATGAAGGGAATGAACAAGATACATGTTGATCTAGCATCTTTGATGGCTAAAGGTTAGGTAGGATGTGGTTCCTTATTAGTAATTACAAATTTCAAAAATAATAGAAGAAATTCTATATACTTTGATTAACTATTTCCAATAATTCCTTAACTATTTCCAATAATTCCTTCTAAATTTCCTAAAGAAAAGTTTTTTTATATGTAATCGATACTTATGGAAGCTTTGTTCACCTTTTGATTGATTTGAATTTTTTTTAAAAAAAAATATCATCATGATTAAAAGAAAGGTGTTTTTTTTTAATTGCTATTCAAATCTTAAGTTAAATTATGGTAAGTAAAATTAAAACTTTAAACAAGAGAATGGAACTTTAAATATTAATTTAAACCGAGAGAAAAAATTGTACCTCATTTTTTATTTATCTTTTTAAATTAATATGGATATCTAATTAGTTAACTTGAGTTCACATCGACTAATCCTATGAGCCCTAAATTTAATGATCATTTAAGCCTTTAGTGACTTTAAAATTTATAAGACTCGAAATGATGATCCCCAAGAAATAGACTCAAGACCTGACCAATTGAGTTGTACACTTTAGGATTCTCATCCAATATCTATTAACAACAAGAGTGTTGAACACTCCTTTTTAGTGCTTTGTTTTTGTTTTTTTTTTTTGTATTTTAAAAATCTATAAATAGTACACTTAAAAATTATTCTAATGGTATTAGCATATTATTCCCTGAAAATTGGTTGCATGGCATTAGAAAGTTCCCTTGAAAAAGGGCCACTTGGTTTATTGCATATGAGAATTACTTATATGGGTTGGTTGTGAAGTTGAAATGTTAGTGAATCATCACTAAATATTTTTTTAAATATAAAGAAAAGGTAGGTGAAATATTACGAGCAATTAAACTATTTTGAAGTTAAAATGTTAGTGGGGCACCACTAAATATTTTTTTAAATATAAAGAAAAGGTAGGTGAGATATTTCTAGCCATTAAAATATTTTGTTATTATAATAGTAATTTTTTTAAAATATATTTTTATTTAAAAATATATTAAAATAATTTTTTATTTTTTAAAATTTATTTTTAATATTAAGAAATCAAAATAATTCAAAAATATAAAAAGATAAATTTAATTTTTTTTTTTTTTGCAAACTCCGATTTAAACATAAGGCCAAATACCTCTAAATAGTTCAAACTATGGGGACGTAGTGTTTTTTTTTTTTTTGGATATTTTCAAGGCAGATCAATTACTATCAAACTTTATAAATCACGAAAAAAAAAACATTTTAATTTGAACAAAAAAATATTGATGTCCGTAGTAGAAGTAGGTCCTCCTACTTCTTTTCAGAATTGACATTTCGTAATATTGAGGCATTAGATTTCCGTCTTATATGGTAGGAAATTAATTATATTCTTTTAATTTCTAAACTTTCTTGGAATTAAGACAATTAACATCATAAATTAATTTTTCTTTGTAGTAAGTTGCATGTCAATTTTAAGTGCTGCGACTTTCTTCCTTAATTTTTATGAACAAAAGCAAGCTCATTTTGTTGACTGCACTAGTGTTCTTCGTTCAGTTAGGAGTTGGAAGTTGGACATATAGTCATGTATTAACAAGTGGTCTCTCTTCCGACAACAGTGCAATGAATATAGGCCGTAGTCAAATTTCCTCTGGCAATTTAAGGTGTGGTCCGTAGTCAATTTTCCTCAGGCTATTTAAGCTGTGGGACACCATCACGCAAATATTAGATAGACATTAAATTGCGAACCATACAGAATCTGAAATCAGTTTATGGTCCACGGGAGTCAGTACTGACATATATCGTCTTATTATTTTCTCTTTTAAAATACTTTGAAAAAAGAAAAAATAATAATTATGAACTCACAAAAAAACAGAAAGAAAGAATATCCCCTTAAAATATTATTAAAATCTAAAGAAAGGATGAACCATTGGGTGCATCAATTTCATTTTAGAATAATAAAAAAAAATCCTACAATACTTTATATTTTTCTTATAATCTAATCCTTTTATTGGAGGATACTCTTCATCAACCACTATTGTACTCTTGGAATTATGGGTACTATAGCGGTTTATATATATATATATATCTGTGTGTGTTGATGAAATCGTTGAAACTTTAAATGATATTGAATTTGTAGTAGGTTTAATAATTAAGCTTTATTTCTAAGCTTAATTTTGATGTGGGTTTTATTTAAAAAAAAACTTTTAAATGTTTAAATTAAAAAACACGTAGACAAAATTTAAAAATATATACATCGAAGTAGAAGGAGTGGTTGTGTATAAATTAATTATCTAAGTTTTCAAATATATTTTTCACATGGCATCCTTTAGACTTTTCTATTATTATTATTATTATTATGAGTAAATAGAAAAGAACGGGGGTGACAAACCTACAGTGAGGAAAGGGTGGCAAACGCATATAATATGAGGGGGATAGAATTGTAAACCTACTACGGTTAATGAGGTTACTCACTTTCTCACGAAACTATTTTCTTTTCATTTTAGTTATTTTTAAAAGTAATTTTTATTTAAAAATATATTAAAATAATATTTTTTATTTTTAAAAATTTATTTTTGATATCAACACATTAAAATAATCTAAAATATTAAAAATATATTAATTTTAAGTAAAAAATAAAAAAATTTAAATTTTTTTAAAAATATTTTTAAAATGCATAAAAAATCTTAATAACCATATTATCTTGAGACGTTGGTATGACTATGAAAAGATATTATTTATAAGATATTTAAAAGTATAATAATAATTGTTTTTTAAAGTTTATTTTAAAAATATATCAAAATAATATTTTTTTTATTTTAAAAAAATATTTTTAATATTAACATGCTAAAATAGTTGACCATATAAAAATATTTAATTTAAAATAAAAAAATAAAATTTTTTTGGTTGTCCTAAGGGCTGCCCTTTTTCCTTGTTTTCTTCTTCTTCTCCCATCTCAGCCTCGGTGAGGCCAATGGTGTTTCAGTTGATCTTGGATTTTCTCTCCCCGTCTTCCTTCCTCTGTAAACCTCGGTGGGGCCTTCTTCTTCTTCCTCCTCAGCTTTAGTGTTTGGTTGGGTTTAGCTCCCCCATCTAGGCTAGGATTTGGCTGGGCTCCAAGCCTATCCACCTCTTCTTCTCTTCTCCTTATCTAGGCTTGGTCTGACCTATCTCTCATCTAATTAAGCTAGGGTTCGGTTAGGCTTAGAGCTAGCCCACCTCTTCTCCCCTCTTGTCCAGCCTTCGGTAGGACAAGCTAGGTCAGGCATGGAGCCAGGGTTTGATTGGGCTTAGAGCCAGGGTTTAAATGGGCTTGGAGGTAGCCCACCTCTTCTTCATCCTTCAATTAGGCTTAGAGCTAGGTTTCCGTTGGAATTAGGGTCATCCCCACCTTTTCTCTTGTCTTCCCATCTAGGCTTCAGTTGGGAGATTCAAGCTTTTGTTCCATCTCTCTCTCTCTCTCTAATAGCATTCTCATGGCTTCACTGTAAAATGGCATTCCTAAATATAATATCTCATATGCTTAGTTAAGGGTTAGAGCAGTTCCTAAAAACCCAAAACATTAATAACATTGGTTGTATTTGGTTTGGAGCACGAAAAGGTCATGTAGAAGACACAAAATATTTTGATTAATTTGCAAAAATACAGGTAAAATGCAATTTTATCTTTATTTATGAATATTTTTTTTTTAACTTTTCTTGAGATCAAAATATTTGTTTTTACAAAAATACTAGTTATAATGTTTTTTATTTTTAAAAATTATTTTTGATACTAGTATATTAAAAATAATTTAAAAAATATTAATTTTAAATAATTTTTTCAAAATTTTCTCAATTTTATTTAAAACACAATACCAAATGGAGGCTAATTTTTTTGTGGCAATTTGGTTTCGCCCATCACAAATTAAATTGTGAGTAATGGTTTATATCCTTCAAAGAAAATCATGAAATTTCGTTTTCCTCCAGCCTGTCACGTCTTCTATTTCCTACAATTAAATTTAGTTCACTGTTAGTCTGACAAATCAATTTAATAATTAGATTAATTTAAATTTATTAAAAAATCAGTAAATATAATAATTTGGTTAACTCATGATTCGAGTAAACTCGGATGGATGAGATCTAGTATTTTTTTTCTTTTTAAATATAATTTTTCTTTTATATCTTTTTTTTTAATTGGTTATTAATACTTTTTAAAGTTTATTATATAAATATTAAAAAAATATTTATATTTTTTCAATTTGAAATTTGAAACCTCTTAATATATATAGTTTATGTTCCTAAGAAAAAAAGTATTTTTTCAATGTGAATTTAAAACCCTTTCGTATATATGCTCTCTGTTCACAAAAAAAAAATTATGTTTTTTTAAATACTTCATAAAATAATATTTTTTCAATATAGAATTTAAACCCCTTTAGTATATATATTTTATATTCCTAAAAAAAAAGATATTTTTTTTTCGTGTGAGTTTCGAAGGTCTTTCGTATATATGTTATATATTCACAAGAAAAAAATTATATTTTTTTCAATATAAAATTTGAAATCTTTTAATATATATATTTTATATTTTAAAGAAAAAAATTATATTTTTAATATGAAATTTGAAAATTTTTCGTGTGTGTGTGTATACAAGAAAAGAGTTATATATTTTCAATGTGAGATTTGAACCTCTTTAATATATATATTTTATGTTCTTAAGAAAAAAATTATTTTTTAAATGTAGAATTTAAAGTCCTTTAGTGTGTATATATATATAATCTATATTTACAAGAAAAAAGTTATATTTTTTTAATATAGGATAATTTTTTTTTTATAATATTATTTTAATCTTTATAACATGTATAGTTTATATTTATATAGATTTTTTTTATTTTTTTATATAAAATATTAAAATTTTATATATTTTTTTTATTTTTTCAAGTTAATTTATAAAATTAAAAACCTAACTTTTTAGGCAGATTAACTCCAAATCAAGATTAACTCCAAATCAAGTTTTATAACTATGGATAGTTGTCTTTAATCTTTTCCGATTAGGATTTTAGCAAGGTCGATTGCCGACTTAATTGTTCTTCTTTAGATTTTTTTTCCTATATCAATTCAATTAATTCTGTGTTGACTAGCCTTGATAGACATTTAATTAGTTAATTCCACATTAATTTGAGGTATTGTAAAGGTCGGGAGCTTTTAGCTTCATTACCACCAAGAATAAAGTAAAATCCCTCAAAAATAAATAAATAAATAAAAAGACAAATGTCACAATAGCTTGCAATAAGATTAATATTCTCTTTTGTTTTTATATTTTAAAAATATTTTTATATTTTTATTTAAAATTAATTTTTTTAAATATATTAAAATTAAAAATAAATTTTAAAAAATAAAAAAAATATTTCTTTAGCATTTTTTTTAAATTTAAAAATAATCATTACAATGAACACTTTTCAAGTAAAGAAACCAGAAACACAATGACATCCATGACTTATCACAACCCTCCACCATCACCAAGACACCATTCCCCTCTCTCTCTCTGTCTGGTTCATGGATCTTTCCTCAAACCTCCAACGGTCACATTTCTATCTTCCACTTGAATAATAAACCCCAAATCCCACTTCAAAACGGTTACTTTCCTTTCATTTCCTTTCTCTTCAAATTCCCACTTCAAAGAAGTTAGTTTAATCCTTTCCTTTCATTTTCCTCTCCAGAAAGAAAATTCCCACTTCAAAACAGTTACTGTTTTCCCTTTCATTTCCTCTCTAAAAAGACCCTAAAATAGCGACTTTTCAACTATAAGTCCTCATTTTCTACCTTGAAAAACATGTCTAAACTCTGTTCGTTTACTATGTTTGTATTGATACTGCTAGTGGCTTTGTCACTGCCAAAGTGTTTGATGGGCCAAAGGGGTGTAGCACCAAGGGATCTATGGTGTGTAGCCAAGAACAATGCTGTTGATCAGGCACTGCAAGAAGCTATTAATTGGGCATGCGGACAAGGTGGGGCTAATTGTGGGCCAATACAACAAGGAGGAGCTTGCTATGATTCTAATGATATACAGAGAACAGCTTCTTGGGCATTTAATGATTATTATTTGAAGAATGGATTGACTGATGATGCTTGTTACTTCAGTAACACTGCTGCTCTCACTTCTTTGAATCCAAGTAATTGGATAGGATACTTTATATCTTTGAGTTAAACAGAATTTTGGGTTTCGTTTCTTTTCTTGGTTTCTGGATCTGTAAGGTTTGAAGTTTGGCTTGTTGTGGTTGGTGTTTTCTGCATTTTTGTCATTGCATTGCTAATTCTTGATTGAGCCTTGATTTATTTGTGTTTTTTAGTTTGGAAACATTGGATCTTTTCTGTTGTTTCTGTGTTTAATTTGTTAACGATTTGATTAGTAGTTACTCATATGCTAATTTTTCCGTTTCAGGTTTTGATAAATGCAAATTTCCTTCCAGGTAATGCACTCGAATAGGTAAATTATAGTATTGCGATTGTTTTCGTTTGGTGAATGCAGTTTTGTTTGGGCTTTTGGGAAAGTAGATTCTATAAATGGCACTTGTGAAATCAAATTCTCCTTTTAAACACAAGCCAATACATTTGCTTTATGTTTAGGTTATGTTTGTTTCTATGGAAAGTATTATATAGAATTGAAAATGTAATGTTCCTAAGGGAATCAAGAGAAATCTTTTAAACAAGCCATGTTTATTGACAGGATAAAAGATTACTTTCGGCCAATAACGAGGCCCCGCATAACATGCACTACATTGGTCAACATTTTGCTACTTGTACAAATCCTTAACACACTTTGTTATTTGTTTTCTTAAGAGTAGACATTGATACATCTGGTGTGGATTCTGTAATGCAGCCTATCGGTGAATAATGGAAGCATTTATGCGTCAACAGGAACAATACAGATGGGGCCAGATAATGCAGATTTGAGCAGCAGCAATAGGGCTGGTGGCACATGGTTTTTGCCCTTATTCACCAGTTATTTGTTTGTCGTATTTACATGGCTAATTCACTGACATTAGTGAAAGCGAGGGCTTTTTTTTTTTTTATTAGGCATTTAATAGCTTTGGTTTTGTAGGTTCCAGGAATCATCTTCCACTACTGTTATTAGCTCTGTATGTGAATCTATTTTCATCAAGAAAATCAAGTAAATTGAAGTTCTTGCTTTTCAAGTCCGCTACTAGATTGCTGTTAAGGCTCAGTTTTAGGATTCTTGGCCCGTGTAAACTTATGAGAAAGGATCTTGAAGCAGTTTTCAGCGCCTGCAATTAAGTATTTATATGCATTAAAAGAACTGGCATGGGAAAACATCATAGACAATTTGTGATTCCCTGTGGATTGGAATACAACAAGGAAATCACACCTTTGCTCTTGACCCAAAAAAATTTAAATAACACGCCTTGGAGGGTAAATGAGTGTTTTTACAGGAAAAATTAGAGTTCTTACAGGAAATATTAGTCATTCTTGAATTGATTTCGGGCTTCTCGATCTTTTTATAATTTTTTTGCTTGGTTAAATTGCTTGATTGACTTTAAAAACAAAAAAAATGCTTAATTATGGTCTAAGGGATTTTTTATATCTCACCTTTTCAAGTACAGTGTTTAGTAATTTCATCATTGAAAACAAAAAAAATACTTAATTATGGTCTAAGGGATTTTTGTAAAAACTATATTTTTCTTATAATTAAAATTCTCCTAACTTGATCTCATGGGCTTATTAGTAATTTCACAATGTTTTTTTTGTAATAAATGATCCTTGGAGCAATGTGATATTTTGATAAATAAAAAAGTTCCTAATTTGTGCATTGCATATATTAGTTGCTCTGTCATCTTTAACTTGCGATTTTAATTAACTCTCATAGTTAAAACTATTGTTTTGTCATGTCATTTGATTTCTCTTAATATCCTTCTTAGATGACATACGTGGTCAAAGAACATATAGTTTCACATCAAACTTATTAAACTTAATCAATTCAATGACTTGAATTTTAAATTTTTTGAGCAATTGGAATGTTAGATCACAATGTATTTGAGCAATTCAATTCTACATGTTTTACCCCATAAGAAATCTCATTTTTACGCTTTCTTCTCTTTCATACTTTGTTTTAATAAATTATATAGGCTATCTTGTGTGTACACTAGAATCCCTATTTCCTTACTAATTAATTATGAGTTGTGAAAAATATTAATTAATTAATTAAATAGAAGGTGAAGAAAGCAAAAGTATATCCTTACTTTCTACAATATGAATGATTAGTCTAACACTAGATATTGTCCTGCTCTTCACTTCGAGCCGAGCAATTTTTTTTTTGATGTAAAAATATTGCTAGGCTAAAAAGAATTTAATCTCAAGTTTAACTTGGATGAAGAGGTAATTTAAATAATATATATATAAAAAATAACAATATTAAATAAATTAAAAAACTAACTAAAAAAGATATATAAAAAAATTGTATTAGAATCTATTCAGATTACCAAAAAAACTCAATGCTAACTCAATGAAAGAAAAACCATAAAAAAAGAATGAAACTTCAAAGAAAAAAAGATAAAAACATCAGCTTAAAAAAATAAAAATCTAAGTGAACCTCCAATCTAATCTAATATTAAAAACTTGAAACTCATTAAATTATAGAACCGAGTTTAATTAAAAAGATTAACTGTCAACCAATTTAATTTAATAAAAAACCTAGAAAAAAATAAGGATAAAATTTGAGAAAAAACACCTAAGAAGGATGACATTTGAAAAACAATCCCAGAAAAAAGAAATACAAAATTAGCTAAAAAAAAATCAAACAAACCCGGTCTTGCAAACTTATGAAATTCTAGACATAGGTTCAATTAAGAAACTAAACTCTCAATATGATAAAATTATGAAAATAATATTAATAAAAAAATGCAAAAGAATAGAAAAATAAGAATAAAATTTGACAAAAAAAACCAAGGATGAAATTTGAAAAAAAAATAAAAATGATCCAAAACAAAATAAGTCTCAATGGGAGCCATATTTGAAAGATTAAGAAATCATATGAGGTAAAATTGAAAAATATTTGTAATTTGATAGATTATTTATAGATTTTAAAATAATAGGGGTGAAATAGGAAGAAGTTGTTTAACCTGATATAATTAAACTCACTGTTTTTTCCATGTATGATATTTATAGTATAATAACCAAGGTTATCGGTTTAAAAAGTTTATGTAGTCTAATGTACTCTTTTGGTTTTTATCTTATTGTTTTTATTTTTTCTTATTTCATTTATCAATATTAATTTTTTAAATTATTAAATAAATCAATTCACATCAAGCTAGCTCTTATATAATTTTATTAAAAACTTGCATTAGGCAAAAAGATCCAAATCAAGATATTTTAAGATTTATTTTCTTGCCTTGATCTTGATTTAATAGTATTACAAAAAAATTCTCCACATTCTTAATAGTTTTTGTTTTTTGTGTTTTTTTAAAAATAACCTTGTTCACGGGTCCATGAACCAATTATCTATACATGTGTTTGATTGAAATGTGGTTGTTTTTTTTTTTCAAATACAACCCTTTTAAAACACAAACCACACTTTATAAAAATAAAAAATACATACCTTTTATATAGATCTCATATTAAAATAATAATTAAAAAAAAACAAAAACACTCACCTCCAAAGCCAAACACCTCATATATATCCCATTCTATAGCAACGGGCTGCATCGGCATGGGTATTCTATGGCAATGCCCCTCTTAGATTTCAATCAAATTTGTCAGCTCAGTAGTTATTTAAATAATTATAATTTATTTTCAAAATAATTTTTGAATGATTATTATTCAAAATTATTTTCTCTTTATATGAGGAACAACGACGCCTAGGATTTATTGACCCTTTTTTTTTTCTTTCTTTCATTCTTAATTAATCTAATTTTTGGCAGAATCCTTGGTTGAGTCTTGGTTCGACAATTGGACTTAATTATAGAATGATAATTTTGAATTCCAATTATTGATTGAATCTGTTACTATTCTTGAATTTCATAAAAGGAAAAAAAAACTGGGATATTTCGTGATTAGTTGGTATTTAATATATACAATTCAACCCCTAATTAACTTTTTTGTTTTCTATGTCTAAATACTAAATAGCATCCTTCAATCCAAGCTTCATGAGGACAGCCGCACTTTTTCTGGTATCTCGCTTTGAATAGAACCCTATCACGAGTATGAGAGGGAGCGGACCGACCAGATAAAGCCCTTTGAAAGAGCCCCTTGCTTCTCCTTCCGCCTTGGCGCACCGCTTCATCGATGAGAATGCCACCACCTTGCAACTTAGGAGAGGGAACGTAACCATTTGTCTATGCACTTAGCATGGAATGAGAGCTTCTAATTAGGGACACTCCTAGCCATTTCTTAACCCCGAGCATTCTTCAGTAAACAACACACTAAATTGAAGCATATTCATCTTAGCCTTCCGTTTGCTGGTAATTTGGGCCATAAAGAAATCAAAGGACCAATCTACTATTCATTGATAGTAATTAAGTGTCCAAAATCGACACTTCAGGAATTTCAAGATGGAATTGGTGTGGTGAATGAAGGTGTGTTGTCAAAAGAAAACATTCTAATTATTGTCGAGATAAAAACATCATACTGGATTCTAAACTCAATGCTTGGTTACTAGATTTTAGTCATACAGGTGTTGGAACCCAATTTTAGTTTATTGACCTTTCAATTTAATTTTACGGGATTTAAAATATAATATTAAAAAATCATAAATTTATTTTGATAAAAAATATAATTTGTCAGATTGCACGAAAACTAGAAATTACAATATACTTCTGTTATTTTATCCTTATCTTTAAGATAATCTTTGTCTTCTAAATAATGATAGTTATTTGCTTTCAAATTTGATTCTTAATCAAATTCATACTTCAAAAAAAAAAAGGTTGATTGAAATTTTGTTTCTCAAACGCGAATGGACTTTGACACTATAAACACAAACCTCAGTGTATGCACCAGAGGGAGAAAAAGAATACAAGAGGAATAAATTAGTTTTCCCAACAACGAGTACCTGCATCAACCTTGTAGAATGATATTTTTGACAATCTACTTGTAGAATGACACATGAATCAAGCAACTCCTTTATTGAGGTGACTAAACTCTAAACCAAAATGCACAAATAAAAAATGAACTATCATCTTCACATCATGACTCTTGAGACATGTTTTAAATGTATGAATAATGATATGTAGTGAACTCATTGCTCATATTTTCATGAAATGCATCTCTTTGCAAAGACCAAACCATCATATTAGACGAGACCAAAGTTTATTGATCTTGACTGCTTGCATTTGAAATGAGAAAAGACTATCTTTTCTATTCCTTACACACTCTAAAAAAGTATATCCTTTGTGGTACATTTTTTAAGCTTGAATAATTTTTTTCATAAAAAATCTTGACTAGGATCACACCTTGCATTATGGGCAAGTGAAAATTTCAATGAGAAAAGATGAAAAAACCGTGAGAAAGCTGAAAAAGAAAAAGAGCTCAAGAAGCTCAATGACTAAGGGGCATGCCTAAATCACAAGAAAGAGTAATAACCAAGATAAAGTGAGTATGCCCAAGAAAAGCAATGACAAAAAAAAAAAAGAAAGAAGAAAGGCAAATCACAGAAAAGCGACAAAAAAGAAAAAGAAAGGAATCAAATAAATAGATCAACTACTGATAGTGATCCTTAGTCTTTGAAACCCTGAAATACTCTTTGAGCCTTACAATCTTTTCTTTTATAACAAGAAACCTCAGCCAACATTACATGCCTATAAAAGTCCTTTCTAATCAAGCAAACAAACAACCTAGATTAATAAGCAATGCTCTTAAAATGCAAAGAGTATTTCTTTATTAGAGTCATAATATTAAGAACAAGCTATTCATTATTATTTATGCTGATAAAATAAGTGTTCAAAAAGAGACAAGTTTTTCTCAAACAAAACCTCGAGCTTTTTTTCGAGCCCTTCGCTTTGGAAATCTATAAGAAACAGAAGGTTACCTTATGATGCACTTTCTCCAAATACAAGAGCAAATAATCTCTTTTTCAAGAAAAAATCGAGTGCAAGATTTCAAAAGCAAATGCTTTTAAACTTACATTAAAACAATTTTTGTTTTCAAAATACAAGATCAAAATTTCAAGATTCATTTTAAACAAATATTC